TTTACCACCAATATATCGAATGATATGAAATAAACCGATATTTTTGTCTAAATGTCTCTAGTTTTTTATATGCAAAAGCATTATTTTGTTTGTATGTTGTTTAACGTCCCTCTCGAGAATTTTTCACTCATATGGAGACGCCACCACTTGCCGGTGGAGAGCTGCAAATTTTGTCCTATACTCGGCACTTACGGCCATTGAGCAGTGAGGGATCTTTTTCGTGCCAGCACCTACTGCGAAACGGGACCTCGGTTTATACGGTCTCATCCGAAGGACCGGTCTCCACGTCCCACAGTGGGATTCGAACCCGCGACGTAAGGATTAACTCCTTACTCCGCGACTCTAGAGCAGACGCTCTAACCACTGCGCCACGCGGGAGACTCAAAAGCATTAAAAAAGAAATGAAATGAAGAATTATTCACTGAAAAATATCGAGTAGTTAGAATGAAAAGTTTCTGTTTGCAGCAGCAAAAATCCTTAAATTCTAAGTAATAGTTATTGTATATTTATTATGGTGTATCCTGATTTATTTGGACGAATGGCGGTGACGAGTGCGAAGCACGAGTCTCTGCCCTTCGTCTAAATAAATCAGGATACACCATAATAAATATTCAATAACTTTTTTGTTATAATTATCATGACCAGTCAAAACATCAATATTGTCTTGTGACCGGTGTTCGATGTGTGATTTTTAATAAGACCAATTTAAAAAAATCAAGTTTTTGTTATGTGACTACGTGTACACGTATATTCTCTCCTTCACGCCAGTATTTTTCTTTTTGCCTGTGTTTCAACGGTAGAGGATGTCGGGCTGCAGCTTTCCAACTGTGAACACGGAGGATTTACGAGATTTAGGCCTTGATTTTTTATCGAATGATGAGGACCTAATTTTATATCAGGCCTGCGAAAAGTTTAAAATCCTAAAGACCTGCGAAAAGTTTTAAAAAATTGCCGAAGAAAGAACCCAAGGATGCCCCTGAACCTCTATTGGATATATCTACATCTGATAAAATGAACGTTCCTGATAAATTGGAAGTTTTGGGTTAGACCGGCGGTAGCAGTACATTTAATAACTGCACTTTCATTTCGTATTAAACTGTGAAAAGTAGTTTGGGATACATGACTGTGCCTTGCAATTAAGAAAAAACCCTTTATTTCAGTGACAAAAGCATTGTCTTTATATTAAAAAACATTTTTTATTCTGTAAATTCAAATTTAAAAAAAACGTTGAAATTTCCTTCGTGTTCAATAATTTATTTATACGGCACAGTTTTTGCTGGCTCCGTCCATCAGTGTATCTCTATAGTTATTGAATTTTTTTTTATTTCAAAGGAGAAACACCACAGCCATGATACAAACTAGGAATATTATACATAGAATTTTACCGTCAAACTATGTACATTCTTTTTTGCAATGCTGTTTATATCAAGACGCATCCTGTTCATAAAAGTTCACACCTTGCATCATGCGGGTGTCACTCTCTCCCTCTCTCTGTGTGTATGTGTAGGGAGGTGTGCATGAGAGGGGGTGGGGTTAGATATTAATTTTTATTGCTCTCCATTGATCCAGGACTGTGCTCTCTAGGCAATATTAATTAAAATGTTTTGGGGGGCACAACCAAAGAGAAATTCCTTTAGAAGCCAAAATATATGAATTAAATAGAATAGAATATGTAAATAAATAAATTACATAGGATAGAATACCGGTATGTAAATAAATAAATAAATAAAATAATTAAATATTCAAGCAAATAAACTTCATCATGCATGTGTTTGGGGGGGGGGGGGGCACAGCTCTGTTAAACACCTTTGTTTCCATTTTATAATCATTAATGTTAAAATTATTGTGACGATTTTATAATCATTAATATTAAAATTATTGTGAAGACCCACCCCTTTCCACCCCGAAGTTCGCAAGATCTTAAGATCAGCAATTAGAAAACATAAATTTCTCTTTCCCTTTCTCTCTCTTTATTATTACGTTTTACATATTATATAAACATTAATCTTTCTATAGAACGATTGATGTGGAACTTTTTAATAAGGGTACAAATTCATTGTTATCACCATTGTAATGTGAGATAACTCGTACGCATTTATGGAGAGATAACTCCTGCCAGCCATCCTGCAAGCGGTACCAGATAGCCTCAACCTCATAAATTCTCTTTAACTAAACGCAATCAACCGGAGCTATACCTCAGTGTAAACACACTTTGTTCAAGGACACGAATCATTCACTTTGTGTTACTCGATACTGCAGGTGTCACAAAAAAAAAAAATCATGCCGAGCAAAAATTGCTGTGTTTGTCTTTCAAGAACATCTCTGGGTAATAGTACTGTTGTGCCATTGGGAGAGATACTGCGCTATGCAGAGTAGATGCAGTTCATTCCTCGGGAAAATTGTGTGCATTGGCGACATGTTATGTCAAAAATGCAGGGGGAAGGTTTACAGATTAGAAAAGAATGTGGTAAGGTCAGTTAAGGTTTTATGTCCCGTTGCCATTACCCAGGCATCAAGTAAGGACCCTCTTATAAAGGATGTTTCTGTAAATACCGATGTAGGGTCATATGAAGACAGTTGACTATAACTAAAATGATACATGAGAAACAAGAAACTACACGCATGTGGCCTAAAGTCAAAGACTGGAACGGATATCGATAAGCTTTTTCTAAAGACTGAAACCAATATCGGCCATATAAGTCAACGTATATATTTACCTAGAAGTGATCCTTTGAAAAATTTTTGAGCGAAAAGATTCATATTTCTATTAAAAAATCAGTTGACTTTCATATAAACTTTAGCAATGTCGATATGATTTAAGCATTGATAAAACAGGGGAAAACCTACTCTGAGAGAGAAAGAGGGGAAAATTAGCTCTAGTGTAAGATTCCTGAGTATAGATTCCGGGGTGGGGGGTGGGGTGGTTATGGGGGAAATCCTACTTTGTACAGCGGTTGTCATAAAAATTACATCATTCAAATGTTTTGATTTTATAATTCCATTTTTCTCGTAGAAAGACACATTTTCTCTATCGTAGAAAAATATATTCCTTCGCAAAATCAAGTTTGTAAATGCTAGGTACATTACCTGATTTAACATATTAGAAAAATATAGAAAGAAAATGACAGAATTCAAAAGGTTTCAATAAAAAAAAAAGGCAGGCGGGGGAGGTCGGGAAGGGGATTTCGGACCCCCTCCCCCCCTTGGATTTTCAGCTATAATTTTTTTTTGTTTGTCAAAAGCTTGGAGAGTCATATTTTTTTAGTTGGTTGGACCCCCCCCCTTCGCAAAATTTCTTGGAACCGCGCATTAACCGATTTTCTGTGCTTGCTTTTCTCTGGTCTTGGTTGTCAGAAACCAAGGCGCATGCGGGGCTTGATAGATATAGAAAACTTGAAATGACCTAATGGAAAAAAAAAATGAAGGAGAAACGGTTGAAAGAGAAAGCTACTTGATGTGTTTTCTCTTTGCAAGACAGAGAGTACAAAGTGAGAAAAAAGAAATAGAAAGAGGAATCAAGGATATGAATGGGGATATGTATGCCTGTGACAGTTTCATAATAAAAATCTGACAATTTATTAAATATTTATAAGATTATAAGATTTTTAGTGTACATCTTAATATTTTCAACGAAGATTCAAAAATTGAAAAGTTTGTGCTCTGTTATTTTATTTAGATTTAAAAAAAATAAATAAATAGAATTCACATTAAACAACTAAAATATGCAATTAACGTTTGTTACGTCAAAACAACGTTATGACTTTAATAACGTTATTTTGACGTAACGTCAATGTGTACCAACACCGTGCGCAACGTCATATATTGTAATGTTTTGAATCCGAAAAATGAAAATATGTTTTGAGATAAATTTAAAAAAAAATCCTACCATTATCTCCCCGTCGTCAGCAGAGAGCAACAGGTTTTACTTGGCTTAGTATGTAAAAAAAAAAAAAAATAATAATAATAATAACATGGTAAATATGGAAAGTAACTCTTTTAAATATACATCTAAAATATTCATAGATTTCACTAGAAAAAAAAAAAACCCACACATTTTTTATTAAGCCTCTACAGTTCTCCAATATTTCTCCTCTATTTAGGGATATCCGCTCCTCAGCCAGGAACGATAATTCTTAAAACTATAAATAAATTCTCAAGTCTCAAAATGAAGCTTGAAAATAATTCTTTTTATGCAACAATTTTCATTTCATGCATGTGAAGTATAAGAAACGGTCGAGCAAGAGTTGACATTTGTAGCCCATAGAAGTACAAAAATAACAGCATTTTTAGAGAAATCAAATTTCCTTTAATTTAGAGTTAGATACCAGTGTTTCTTAGCTTGATAAGAAATTAGAAGTGATCGGTGATGTCTTGCGATGATAGCACACGCTTTTTACACTATGTGTACATGTTATATAACAATTGAAGCACCCTTGCAGATAAATAGAGATAACAAAGTACCGCATAAGATATCAAAGTACCGCATAAGATATCAAAGTTCCTCATAAGATTGCAAAGTACCGCATAAGATAACAAAGTACCGCATAAGATATCAAAGTTCCTCATAAGATTGCAAAGTACCGCATAAGATTACAAAGTACCGCATAAGATAACAAAGTACCGCATAAGATATCAAAGTTCCTCATAAGATTGCAAAGTACCGCATAAGATATCAAAGTACCGCATAAGATATCAAAGTTCCTCATAAGATAACAAAGTACCGCATAAGAATAAAATACATGCAATTTTCTCCGAATGCCTGGATACCTTTGGTTTTTAATCCTTATATATTTGTTGATCAGTTTTCAATTAGAATGCATAGCACACGCTTTTATTCGCGTTTCCAGAAAATATATTTGAAATTTGACTATTTTCCATATATGATTAACTATACATTGGTATATACACATTACTTTGAGAATCCGGAAACATTTTTGTCAGCATTTGCAATTACTCAACTACTGATTTTCAGAACCTGAGCATCAGACTACATGAAAGGCTTCAAAATCTTCAATCTTTATTTAATTAATTTGTAACTTCTAACATCTTTTACTGCAGTAGATCGAAACAAAATATTTACATTGTTTAAGGAATGATACAATTGTTTTAAACTTGCTGTTAACCTATATTTCAACAAAAAAAATGACATACAAAGTAATCTAAGTGGACACCGGAAACTCTCTAAAATTACATTCAAATCTTACTACATGTAGCTTGCAAATTAAAAAAAAATACTAGTAGCCATTGGCTAATTTTGTTTTTAGAAACTGAACAACAGAAAAGGATACTTGGTATAAACACTAAAAGTGTAAGTCATAACTGTAAGAAATATTTACATTCACAATTTAGAATTCAACAACTCATCATGAGAAAGCAACTGTATCATTAATCTGTGTCGTTAAACTTCACAACAAAATCCTATAATAATACAAATTCATGTTAGGTAGAGTGATCACACATTATGCTGGGTAGCTTGGAGCTGGCTGTGGTTGCATGGGATAACCTGGCTGTTGTTGCATGGGATAACCTGGCTGTTGCGGCATTGGATAACCGGCTTGTTGATTTGTGGTCATTGCAGTATTTGAATTCACCACTGTCACACCTAAGAGAAGGCAATTTGTTAAAAATTCTATCCCTGGACTTTGGCGAAAATAATTAAAAACATTTTTTTTATTTCATTGCACTTGTAACATGGTGAATGCTTCCAAATGTGAATGAATTGTTGATTGGCATTCTAACCTGGTGTTGCTAATTAACATTCTTACCTGATGTTGCTGATTGGTATTAATTCTTACCTGGTGTTACTGATTAACATTCTTACCTGGTGTTGCTGATTGACATTCTTACCTGGTGTTGCTGTGCCATGCATTATGAATAGTCTTACCTGGTGTTGTTGATAGACATTAATTCTTACCTGGTGTTGCTAATTGACATTCTTACCTGATGTTGCTGATTATCATTCTTACCTGGTGTTGCTGTACCATGCATTATGAATAGTCTTACCTGGTGTTGTTGATTGGCATTAATTCTTACCTGGTGTTGCTGATTAACATTCATACCTGGTGCTGCTGATTGACATTCTTACCTGGTGTTGCTGTGCCATGCATTATGAATAGTCTTACCTGGTGTTGTTGATAGACATTAATTCTTACCTGGTGTTGCTAATTGACATTCTTACCTGATGTTGCTGATTAACATTCTTACCTGGTGTTGCTGATTAACATTCTTACCTGGTGTTGTTGATTGACATTCTTACCTGGTGTTGCTGATTAACATTCATACCTGGTGCTGCTGATTGACATTCTTACCTGGTGTTGCTGATTGACATTCTTACCTGGTGTTGCTGATTAACATTCTTACCTGGTGTTGCTGATTAACATTCTAACCTGGTGTTGCTGATTAACATTCTTACCTGGTGCTGCTGATTAACATTCTTACCTGGTGTTGCTGATTAACATTCATACCTGGTGCTGCTAATTGACATTCTTACCTGGTGTTGCTGATTGACATTCTTACCTGGTGTTGCTGATTAACATTCTTACCTGGTGTTGTTGATTGGTATTAATTCTTACCTGGTGTTGCTGATTAACATTCATACCTTGTGTTGCTGATTAACATTCTTACCTGGTGTTGCTGATTAACATTCTTACCTGATGTTGCTGATTAACATTCCTACCTGATGTTGCTGATTAACATTATTACCTGGTGTTGCTGATTAACATTCTTAACTGGTGTTGCTGATTAACATTCTTAACTGGTGTTGCTGATTAACATTCTTACCTGTTGTTGTTGATTAACATTCCTACCTTGTGTTGCTGATTAACATTCTTACCTGGTGTTGCTAATTGACATTCTTACCTGATGCTGCTAATTAACATTCTTACCTGGTGTTGCTAATTAACATTCTTACCTGGTGTTGCTGATTGACATTCTTACCTGGTGTTGCTGATTAACATTCTTACCTAGTGTTGCTGATTAACATTCATACCTGGTGCTGCTGATTAACATTCTTAACTGGTGTTGCTGATTGACATTCTTACCTAGTGTTGCTGATTGACATTCCTTCCTGGTGATGCTGATTGACATTCTTACCTGGTGTTGTTGATTAACATTCATACCTAGTGTTGCTGATTAACATTCTTACCTAGTGTTGCTGATTAACATTCTTAACTGGTGTTGCTGATTGACATTCTTACCTGGGTTGCTGATTAACATTCTTACCTAGTGTTGCTGATTGACATTCTTACCTGGTGTTGCTGATTAACATTCTTACCTGGTGTTGCTGATTAACATTCTTACCTTGTGTTGCTGATTAACATTCTTACCTGGTGTTGTTGATTGACATTTTTTCATGGTGTTGCTGATTAACATTCATACCTGGTGCTGCTGATTGACATTCTTACCTGGTGTTGTTGATTGGTATTAATTCTTACCTGGTGTTGCTGATTAATATTCTTACCTGGTGTTGTTGATTGGTATTAATTCTTACCTGGTGTTGCTGATTAATATTCTTACCTGGTGTTACTGATTAACATTCTTACCTGGTGTTACTGATTAACATTCTTACCTGGTGTTGTTGATTGGTATTAATTCTTACCTGGTGTTGCTGATTAACATTCATACCTTGTGTTGCTGATTAACATTCTTACCTGGTGTTGCTGATTAACATTCTTACCTGATGTTGCTGATTAACATTCATACCTGGTGCTGCTGATTGACATTCTTACCTGGTGTTGCTGATTGACATTCTTACCTGGTGTTGCTGATTGACATTCTTACCTGGGTTGCTGATTAACATTCTTACCTGGTGTTGCTGATTGACATTCTTACCTGGTGTTGCTGATAAACATTCTTACCTGGTGCTGCTGCACCATGCATCACCACACCTGTTCTACTGTGACCACAACACGATTTACAGATACACACCAATACACCGACAACGACAGCAATACATCCAAGTCCTATCAGGACAGGGACCCACCTAGAATATTAGGGAACATAAAACAGAAGCAGGCTTCTTACTATCTTTCGTTAATATAACATAATTTAGTTCATTAGAGACTATAGTATGAAATTGACACACGATTTTTAATGTGTTTTAATCTTTTAACTATCAAATCCTTTCATTCCCTATCAAGTTTATTATAAGAATTTGAAAAATTATTTATTTTACAGATATTGTTTGAATTCCTTTTCCTCATCGAGAAGAAGATAAAGAAGCAAACTGTAATTTTTAAGGATTTTAAAATACCGTTATTAATGTGCAAGTATTCTCTAACATATTTTCAAGTTTGACTTGAACAAAACCTTTTTTCCACTGGTGGTTATATGTTCTAAGTTGCACATATAAATCTGCAGTAAAAAATCTTAATTTTCTTTCTAAAACCATAGTAGTTAGAGCTCCTGAATCATCAACATTCAAGTTTAAGATGCTTGTGTGTATGAATCTTGACCTACAAAACTGAGGCTTAACAACGAAGGTGTTCCAGCTAAACAGTTCGATTCTCTCTCAACACGATCATAATTTACTCGTATTAAAAAGAATTCAGGAACAATAATTTTTCTTTGACTTTTTGAAAATCAATTCTATGCACCCAGGTTCGATGAGATGGCATCCATATTAGATGCCTTGGCGTTACATAAAAAGGCGTCTTAATAAGTATTCTCAAAAATTAAAACTAATGAATACACCCATTTAAAGTTTATTCGAAAAATTACCCTCATTCTTCCTTATCAAGAATAAACAATATGAATTATGCGAGAAAGTCTTTTAAAAAGATTTTTTGTGACTGAGCTAAACTTGTTAGATTCATACAGAGTTTCCTGTTTTTAGAGCAAATCCTTGCTATTGTTAATTTTATTGTGAATCAAAACTAAATGTTCCTATTTATACAAACAAGGAAAATCTAAGCAAAAACAACAAATGTAAAATTATGAAAATCATTCAGGTACAACTGTCCTCATCAAATGCAGCCATTCGTCTTATCTTACTTTGATAATTATATAAGGTTCGGGGTATTATTTGAAAGTCGATTACAAATATTGTGGTTGTGGCATTAGTGTTTCTTGGTTTTTGTTACCACTTACAATATCAAATAAGGATGGTACAATGTAAATTGAGTGAATAGTCTTTCTGGGAAGAAAACTATACACAAAACTATCTCAAAATTGTAGCATAAAATGAATTTCTCAGATGGCAAAGAAAACACAGAGAGAGAGAGAGAGAGAGACAGAGACAGAGAGAATAATTAAGAATTCTGTTACACTTAAACCTACTCGTGTTGTGAGAAGTAAGCTGCGCAAAGGTCTTCCCTCTCGCTAGATGGCGCTTGAAGGAGAAAATTAGTGCAACAGTCGTATTTTCCCAACTGGAAACAACAGTAGTCGTCACACCACTTTTCCTCGTTGTACGACAATAGTAGGTCATAGTGAGCTTTGCAGCACTCCCCTGCCCACACCAACAATGGGGCACTCACTGTCCAATAAAGTTTTATCAATTAAGTGTTATATTCAATATACTTATGCAACCTTGATAAAATGTACAAAGAACTCAGGATCATCAAGGGTTTGAATTGTTTTAAAATATCAGTAGAAGGTTTGAAAAAAAAAAAAACTTCTCGAATTTATTTTCTTTCTTGGAATTCAACTTAAAAACAATCAAAATAAATCGCCTCTTAACTACAACCGTTTTTACCAACTACAACAGTTTCTGTTCTACCAGTAAATGTTCTACCAAGCCTCTTTCTTTACTCCTCACTAAGATATTAACAGTAGTGAAGGAGAAACTTCAAGAGTAATGTGCAACAATATATTCAAGAATTGGTGTAAATCAGATGTGGATACTAAAAAATTCCAAGGAACTTTTGGAACATTTGAAATCACAAAATTTTAACAAAATCAACAACATAAAACTTACGACTTTTCAACTTTATATACAACTATTCTCAACGATAAATTAAAGTCCAGACTTTCTGACATCGTTGACAGCTGCTTTTTCAATAAAAATGGAACTCGTAAATTTACTTACCTTGTCATTGGTCATTTGCAAAATTACTTTGTTAAAAAACAATCTGATTGTACACACAAGTACTCTGAAGTTGACATTAAAAAGATGCTCGAGTTTCTGATTGACAATATCTATGTGGTTTTTGGAGACCAGGTCTTCCAACAATCTATTGAAATTCCCATGGGTACCAATTGCGCCCCGTTATTAGCAGATCTATTTTTGTATTCATATGAAGCAGAATTTGTTCAAAATCTTTTGCGTGAAAAGAAGAAAACACTTGCTCTGGCCTTCAACTCGACATTTAGATATATCAACGACGTATTGTCAATTAACAATAGTTATTTCCATTCTTATGTCGACACGATATATCCCGGTAAGAATCCGGGTCATTTCCCTCCAGTGCCTGTTCCGCCTAGGTCATTTCCGCCCAGGTAATATCTCTCCCAGGCCATTTCCCTCCCTCACCAAGGTCATTTCACTTCACAACCTTGGGTATTTCACTCCAAACAAGAATATTATCGGGTTATTTCGGGATATGAATGTTTTTTTAAGTTATTTAATTATTAATTTCCATTTTTTTTTTTTAAATATATTTGTATTTTTAAACTTTAAGATTTTTTATATAAGTTCTTTATACTTGTAATAATATTATTTGAATAAGTATTGAAATCTTTGAACATTGGTGGGTTAATTTTTATTTAATTATTTCATTTATTTATTTATTTACATTTATTTATTTTATTTATTTATTTATATCATTTATTCATTCTAGTTTAAAGATTGATCAAATTAAATGTGCAATAATGCAAATTTTCTTTTTAAAAATTATTTTAAAGAATTCAATTAAATTATTTATCTTTTATTTTTATAATTCATTTTTTTTATTTCATTTTATTTTATTTTTAAATTTTTTTGTAGACTTAAAAATGTCAATAATAATAATAATAATAATAAAAACTGATTAGGTTAGTACCAGGTTAGTCTTCATTCTCTTTGCTTTATCTACATTTTATTGCGTTTATCAAGAAAATGTAAGATAAAATGCAAATTTTATTGGCCAATTGTTGTCTATTGGATTTATGATACATTACACAAAGGCAATATATATATATATATATTCATGCTGGGAACATATGTGTATGTCTGATTTTTCAATTGCTTTAATTATATATCGAGAATTCATTAAGATCTTATAATAATTATCCATTCTGGAAAAAAAAATATTAGGTTTATAATAAATAAGTATAATTATACTTTAAAAGAAATAAAAATAAAAGTTTTTTGGTTTTTTTGTTTTGTTTTGTTTTTTTTTTTTGTTTTTGTTTTTTTTTTGTTTTTGTTTTTTTTTTTTAATTCCACAATGCTATAATACAAACATACATATGAAATTAACACAATCCTTTCATTGTAGTATTCATTTTTTGAGAGACAGAGGGAGAAAGAGAGAGGGGGAGAGAGAGAGGAAAGAGAGAGAGAGAGAGAGAGAGAGAGGGAGAGGATGAGTTAAAAGAGAATGTGGATGACAGATAAATAGAGGAGGTAGCAAAACTAGTTTAAAGACAGGGTTTATTCATGTTAGTCTGAAAGTATGGAGTGCCATTTTTGCCAGGAGGTGTTAAACTCATTTATTTTATTGCATTCTCTGGCTGTATATTTCAATGACTTATAAATAATTTTGAATTCATTCAGAAAACCATGGATAGAGAGGCTGAGGTTTTGACAACGAACTCTGTAGATATATTGTTTCATTGACAAAAGCAGCCTATTTAAAGATTTTGATGATATTGTATTACTTGTATCTCCAAATATAAAAGTTTTACCATCTAGATTTAATAAAAGTCTTTTTGGTGACAGTGTCTAACCATGTAGATTTTAAAGCTGTTATGTAAGACACAATGTTAACCATTTTTAATCCTCCCTGTGCATACTTCTGAGTCACAACTTTTCTTTTTATTTTGTCTACATTTGATTTCCATAAAAAATTAAAAATCAATTTGTTTAGGTCTTTTACAACACCTAAAGGTGGGTTAGGTAAAGTAATAAATAAATGATTAAGCTGTGATATAAGTAGTGATTTAATCAATGAGATTCTTCCAATAGGAGTTAAGTTTCTTTTTTTCCACTGCTCAATGATGGTCTTAATTTTAACCAATTTTTTGTCATAGTTCAGTTTTTGTGATTTTTGCTAAGTCAACATCATAATAAATGCCTAAAAGTTTAAAGTTTGTTGTCCATTGAAATTTCAATTCAGGACAGAGTCTATCCTCAGAATATTTCCTACTTCCAATCCAAACAATTTGGGTTTTTGATTGATTGATTTTGAGATCTGACATTTTATAAAATTCTTCTAATTCTAGCATTGTAGCCTTCAATGATTTTTCAGAGCCATCAAGAATTATCATTGTGTCATCTGCATATTGTGACATTAAGTACTCTGCGTCATTTATCTTAATTCCTTTAATATTCTCATTATTTCTGATTTTAATAGACAGTATCTCAGCACATAAGAGAAATATATAAGGAGAAATTGGGTCACCCTGTCGACAGCCCCGTCCTAACTTGAAGAAGTTGGATAGAATTCCTGCCTGACACACACATAAAACTATATTATTTTGAAAAAATTTTATCCAGTTACAAAATTTGGTCCAAAGTTAAAAAATTCCAATGTTTCTTGAATAAAAGTCCATGACACGGAGTCAAAGGCTTTCTCAAAATCTATCATGACTAAAATCCCAGGAATATCATGCAATTCTGTATAGTGCATCAAATCATATACAAGACGTGTATTCTCTCCAATGTATCTCCCAGATATAAAACCTGTTTGATATGAACTTACTATTTTGGGTAAAACTTTTTTTAATCTGTGTGCTATGCATCCTGATCCAATTTTATAAATAATGTTAAACAGTGATATTGGCCTCCAGTTGCTTAGATGAATTATTCCTTGTTTTTGTGTGGAAGAAAATTCACCTATTTCATAGCCATAATTCAAGGAGCGTACTACAAAATGACCTAGATTTCTCCAGAATACTTTAAAAAAATTCTGCTTTAAAACGATCACTACCTGGACTTTTGTTATTAGACATTGTCTTTAATACAGATAGAGCTTCATTATATGAAATGATACCTTCCAACTGAAAACGTTCAGTGTCATCTAATTTAGGAACATTAAATTCTGCAAGAGATTCTTTAAGATTCAATTTAATAACATCCTCCAATACTTGAGGTGAATATAAGGTTTTGTAAAAATTTTCAACTTCTTCTAGAATTTCAGATTGTTTTGTTATTTCCCTTTCTTCATTATTTTCACTTTTAATAATTTTTGGTATTATTTTATTAGTAAAATGTCTATTTTCAAGATTTAAAAAATAACTTGTTGGTTTTTCTCCTTCACTATCCCATTTTGCCCTTGACCTTATCATATTACCCATAAGCTTGTGTTACCTTATTGATTCTAATGCTTTTTTCTTCTCAGCAATAATAGTAACATTATTGTCATAATTTTTTTCCAGTTCAGTAATTTCATCACTTAAATCTTTCTCATTATTTACCCTTTCCGTTTTAATATAGCTTGCATATGAAATTGATTTAGCTCTTATCTCCATTAGAAATGTTTCTAAAAATAATTGGTCATTTATAGTAAATTGTATTTCAGAATTGGATATTTCCTTAATGTAGGCTTCATTATAACTGGCAGTGCATATTGTTTTTTAACCTGATTAATAACATTATTTGTGATTTCAATAAATTTTGGGTCTTTTAAGAGAGAATTATTAAATTTCCATAAACCTTTCCCATGTAGGAAATCATTGAACTTAAGGGTCAGTAAAATTGGTGAATGATCTGATCTATAACTTCCAAGAATATCACAGTTTTGTATGTCAGTCAACAATGAGTTGGATACAAGAGCAAAGTCTTAGCGTGCTTGTTTCAGAGGGTTTGGTTTCCTCCAAGTAAATCTTTTTGCTTCTGGGTGGAACTCTCTATAAATATCTATTAAATTATGATAATCTATTTGTTCAAGTAATTTCTCTCTGATTTTTGGGTTATTAACATGTAAATAATTAAAATAATCTTTGTTTGGATCTAATACCAGATTAAAATCACCCACAATTATTGCTTCATTGCCAAGTTTGGTTATTAACTCTGATAAATTCTCGTAAAATGCTGGAGAATCTTTATTTGGCCCATATATGCATCTCAAACTAATTTTCCTATTTTCAACAGTTAAGTTTAATGCAAGAAAATTGCCAGAATTATCTATAATTTGGTCATGGACTACAAAATCAAAATTATTATTAAAAGTTTTGTATTTTTAACTTTTCCCGATCAAAATTAAACTGACTAGAATTACATGTAAATAATGTGAAAACGTTTATTTATTTCACAAAAAATACTAGATTGCTTAGTTTTAATATGGTTAAAAATTAATTGAACTTAAAATCAAATTTATTCCTCTGCGGTTGTTT